GACAATGATTCGGACGTTTTTGGGGATGGCGATGGACCCGACAGTCAGGTGTTCCGTCTCCATACACACGTGCGATCGGGCTGAGATTTGTCCCGTTGTCCACGAGTCATATCTTCAAGATGATGTACCTAGTTTATGTTGTACACACTGTTATTAGTATAGACCTGCCAAATACAAGCAATGTCACATAGTGTCATTCCGGCGTAAAGCGAAGGCAACGGATACGGTTCAAGAGCTTATTACACCTCAAAGTTTGCTTGGACTAGACGCAGCAGGTGAACCTTTTCTCGGTCCTAGTCGTGCTCTAAACGGCACATACAAGGAGAGAAGAGCATATCGAATCACTGGAGACGCTCTCAAGGGTAAGCTGCTCCTGGCTTGGGCTTTGCAATGCTTTTTATGTAAGGAAACGGGGAAAAGAATGATTGAATAGGTAACCTTGTTAGTTCCAGACCTGGATCTGATAAACAACCCAGAGGAAGACTGTGAAATGACAAATCTGAGGTGATTGACGATATGAAGAACAGTGAGAGACTGTAGAATGCGGCTTTCCTTCAGACTGAGAAATACGCTGGGTTCGCCCGAAGCTCCCGTCCAGCACCATCGAGTCTTCCTGCTCAGACCACATTTGCAGGGAGAACGCAGAAGCATCGTGCACAGCCTTTGAATTATTCTTACTCTCTATTGAAGCACGTCCTTCGATGAACTCGTTATCTCCATTTAATATCTTTGTAAACTAGATCGAAGGGCGTGCGTTGTTTGATGACCTAAGATCATACTTTTCTGTCGACCTGCAGTGTTGTACGATCTATCTACTCTTCGCCTCAAGGTAAGATGAAACCGACTACATATGTTTCTGCAATACAAAGCATCTTTGTCTCTGTTTGGATTATTCACGTGGATGATCACTCTGATCTGACAATCTTATAGATAGTGTATCATACTTTGCACTATTCCAAGAACCCCTTCCCTCTGTTTCGGCGCCCTCTAAGTGGACCCACCATGGATGGAAATCCTGACATCTAATATCGCCATATTCATCTTCAGAAGGGAAGGGGTGCTGGTTTCCAAACCTAACAATAATCGGCTTTCATCTGAATCGGTGAAAGCCTGTCTGGTTAATATCAACTTTCAAGTGGGCTCGTCCAATGCCCATCAAACCCCTTGTTACGGAGGATGGAGAGTACCACTTCTTTGGGACTGCAGGGTCTGAAGGGCCTGTCCTACGATTTATCACAATTCGACCATTATTTATCTCAGGCAACTTCATACATCAATGGTAACCCACACTTGCAGTATCCATCATTATCAAATGAAACGATATCTGGAATTGGTGACCAATTAGAGCCTCCGGCGAAGCGGCTTCGCAGCTCTCCTTCGTGCAATGCAATGAATCAATTGAATGGCGAGACGTCCAGTCCTGCCGCGATTTCCCAACCATCAGCAAGGCCTCAAGATCTCAATGGAGTTCTCGATAGAGTCGCTGGTGGATCTGAGAGCACGGATTGTATGACACATGACTCCAATGAGGATACGAGTAATATAGTTAGTGGCTCAGCTACCTCCGTGTCGTTGATGTATGAACCCAGTCAGAAAAACTCAACTCCACCGTCAACTGTCAACATTTTGCCGTTCTCGTCTTCTGTTACGTCTGACTCCAGAGGGCTCAGTGGCAGTGCAGACTATGCCAGATATCGGCCAAGGTCGTCCATACCTTCTAAGCTCACAGCTGCTGTCTACGCTCAGCAGTGTGTTACCGCAGCTTATGCATGCAGACTCAATCCCTACTCTCTACACAAGAAAGAACAGGAAGCATTACAGGATCATCTGTGCCATCTGCATGTCACAGCTTACCTGAATATACGAAACGGAATCCTACGCCTCTGGACGCGAAATCCAATGGTCAGTGTTACAAAAGATGAAGCTCTAGGCTGTGCCAAAGACTACCGGTGGATGGGATTGGCTTCGTTTGCCTACGAATGGCTTGTACGGAATGGATACATCAACTTTGGTTGCGTTGAAATACCACCGGCTCTAGTTGCCCCTAAAAAAGGAAGACGCAAGGACGGCCCTGTCATTGTTATAATCGGGGCTGGAATGGCAGGACTGGGTTGTGCAAGACAATTGGAAGGTCTTTTCAAGCAATATCATGATCCACTGACCTCACCGCGGGTTGTCGTATTGGAGGGAAGGCGGAGAATCGGAGGCCGTATTTATTCTCACCCTCTACGGAGCCTTCAGTCGTCGAAGTTAGCCCCAGGGTTTGTGCCCAAGGCCGAGATGGGTGCGCAAATCATCGTCGGTTTCGATCATGGAAATCCATTAGACCAGATAATTCGAGGGCAGTTGGCGCTACCCTATCACTTATTACGTGATATATCGACTATCTATGATATCGACGGCTCGGCAGTCGATGAAGTTCAGGACGCGATGGATGAACGGCTGTATATTGATGTTCTTGACCGCTCCGGACTCTACCGTCACAAAGCTGTTATTGTACCTACCGCCGAAGGAGATAGGGGACTGATAGACTCGGGCCGCGATTTGACAATGAGCGACGGTCTAACCGTAAGACAGTACGAAGAGGCTCGCGCCGCTGGTACCGTCGGGCTTCTGTTCCCCAATAAAAAGGTCCGACGAGGTGTGGGCCACAAGACAGCGGAAATAAAAGCAACTGTGCCCCCTGTGCCGACTGATCTTGATCCCGCAGAAGAGCAGCCCGCAGCTCTTGCTTGTCAAGCCATGGGATGGAAGCTGAAGGATGGGGTGCCTCCAACAGCATCTCTGAACTTAGACCCTGTTGCCAAAGCTTCAGGGTGGCCAACTCTGGGCGCCGTAATGGACGAGGGGGTCAAACAATACCAACGCATGCTTCCTCTTACACCTAAAGATATGCGATTGATCAACTGGCATCTCGCAAACCTGGAATACGCGAACGCTACCAATATTGGCAAACTCAGTCTCTCTGGCTGGGACCAAGATTTGGGCAACGAATTCGAAGGCGAACATTCACAAGTCATCGGCGGCTATCAACAGGTACCCTATGGCTTGTGGTCGTTGCCGACGAAACTCGATGTTCGAACGAACAAGATCGTGAGCAAGATCGCCTATGATTCTACGGGCTCAGGGAAGCGGAAAACTGTGGTTCATTGTGAAGACGGCGAATCGTTCGTTGCAGATAAAGTAGTCTTCACGGGGTCACTTGGTGTCTTGAAGCATGACTCTATAGAATTCTCGCCGCCCCTTCCTGACTGGAAGCGTGGAGCTATAGAAAGGCTCGGTTTTGGGGTCATGAACAAAGTGATACTCGTATTCGAGGAACCTTTCTGGGATACGGAGAGAGACATGTTTGGGCTGCTACGGGAACCCAAGAATCGAGACAGCATGGTGCAGGAGGACTATGCTACCAACCGAGGCCGATTCTACCTTTTCTGGAACTGCATGAAAACAACAGGCCTCCCAGTTCTAATCGCCCTGATGGCTGGCGACGCAGCCCATCAGGCGGAGTGCACACCTGACGGGCAGATCATTGCAGAGGTGACGAGTCAGCTTCGGAATGTCTTCAAGCACGTCGCGGTGCCTGATCCGTTGGAGACCATCATCACGCGGTGGGCAACTGATAGATTCACTCGGGGAAGCTACTCCTACGTAGCTGCGCAGGCGCTGCCGGGTGACTATGACCTGATGGCAAAGCCAATCGGCAATCTACACTTCGCAGGAGAGGCCACTTGCGGCACCCACCCGGCCACCGTTCACGGCGCCTATCTCTCCGGTCTGCGAGCTGCATCAGAGATCATTGAGTCCGTCCTCGGACCTATAGAGGTCCCGAACCCATTGGTACCCGAGAAGGGCAAGACAATCGAACTGGGCACACCAGTAGCAACGGGGCAAAAGAAAAACGAACCACATTTCTCAACCGGTTTCCCCGGCCCCGTTTCCACATCAGCAGACCCCACCGACGCATCGGCGCCTGCTCGTTCAAACAACTCCTTCTCCGGCGATGCGGCTCTTCGACAAGCCTACGAACAAGCCATGTGGGCAGCCATCCACGCCGAGCTCGGCCCTCCCGAACCCCGACCGGCGAGAACAGGCCTCAACCCTTTCCTCCTCTACCAGAAGGACTACTGGGGTAAAGCCCGCGCCCAATGCGACGAAGCCAAACAAGCAACGACCAAGGACCCGAATGCCAAAGCGGCACGTGACGAAATCCGACAGGCCTTGGGCCTCATGTGGCGGCAGGCCGGCGAAGAGGAAAAACGGCCGTATATCGAACAGACAGAGGTAAACCGACAGACCAACACGGAGATCTGGGATCGATGGAAGCAGAATACGAAGGAGTGGGAAAGGAAGTCGCACGAGGTCAAGGAGCGATGGTGTGCGGCCAATCCGTTCGAGACGTGGCAGCCGCCGGCGAAGAGGTGATACCTAGACTCGAGTATGAGTATAGTTTACCTTTCTAATGTCAAGGGGACATGGGTATGCAGGGGCTGGCGCTGAAAATGTGCTAAATAAGGTCTGGTGCTTTCTACTAATACTGAGACAGCGTTTTAGCTACGTAACAAAAGTATACTCCTAGACCGCTGCAGGCAGAATTGATACTAGTCTCATTGCTCAAGCAGGATTATATTGATATCAACCGGGTTTTCCCATGCACACGATGTACCGAAATCTAAGTCTGATTTCCAGCTTTGGGATTAATTCTATGTCTATTCTATGTGTAGAAGTAGATTCCCAGAAACGATCTCATCTATCTAATCCTGGAGAGAGTCCCGTCGATGGTGGGACCAAAAAAAAAAAAAAAAAAAGAGGCATTAGGAAAATTGCAACAAACGCTGAAGTCTAGTGGCGAGAACCAACGCGTCCATGAGGGTCATAGGAAGGAGATATCAAGATGATATGTCGAGGCAGACAGGTAATGAGGGTGTACAAGGGGTGGCGGCGAGGCGTGGAGAAGGCGGGAAAGAATGCCATTGCAGGATAGTGAAGATCCGACGATTCATTTAGAGAAGAGGGTTCGACTTGTATTCTGGAACGGCGCCGTTGATGTCCTCCTTGACTTCGCCGTTGACCTCCTGAGCGGCGGGCTGAACAGCGGACTTATCGACGGATTTCTCAGCGGATACAGCGACGGGCTCTTCCTCGGGGACCCCGCCCTCAGCAATGAACTTTTCGGCCTCGAGAGCAGCAATGCAACCGGATCCTGACGAAGGGCAGTTAGTATTAAAATCAAGCAGGACTTGGAAACCGGTGGTCACAAACCTGCACTAGTGATAGCCTGGCGGTAACGCTTGTCCTGCACGTCACCACAAGCAAACACACCCTCGCGGCTGGTGTAGCTGGTTCCCGCCTTGGTGATGATGTATCCATCCTCATCGAGGTCGATTTGCCCCTTAACGAGGGCGGTGGCGGGGTCGTGACCGACAGCATAAAAGAGACCGTTGGCGTCGACAACCTCCTCCTCGCCGGTAACGGTGTTCTTGACTCTCAAGTGAGTCATCAGGCCGTTGGCCTTCTTCTCCCCCAGCACCTCGGTGGCAACGGTGTTGAAGCGGACGGTCACCTTGGGGTGAGCCAGCAGACGGTTGGCCATCGCCTTGCTGGCGCGAAGTTTGTCACGACGGACGAGCACGGTAACGCTGCTGCCGTACTTGGCCAGGAACATGGCCTCTTCGGCAGCCGAGTCGCCACCACCGATCACGTACAGGGGCTTGTTGCGGAAAATGGGCACCGCACCATCACAGACGGCGCAGGCGCTGATTCCATTCTGCCAGTACGTCTCCTCGCCAGGCAAGTTAAGACGACGAGCGTTGGCACCGGTGGCAATGATGACGGCATCCGCAGTACAAGCGGGCTCCTTATCAGGGCCATCGTTCCATTCCGTCCATAGCTTGAAAGGTCTCGAGGACAGGTCGAGTCTGGAGATAGTCTCGGTGATCACCTCTGTGCCGAACCGGATGGATTGCTTGCGCATGTTCTCCATCAGCTCCGCGCCACCAATGCCATCGGGGAACCCGGGGAAGTTCTCAATGTCGGTAGTAGTTGTGAGCTGGCCGCCAGCGGCCGTGCCATTAGCCAGCATACCCTCATAGAGAACAGGTTTGAGTTCCGCTCTCGAAAGATAGATAGCAGCGGTGTGGGCAGCGGGGCCGGAGCCGATAACTATTCAAGGACACCACGTCAGCAACGGGGACAACCAATTAAGCAGACAACTGAGATCCTTTGGGTTGCAGGACGGGTAGATACTTACTGACAACTTTTGTGTGCACCATTCTGGAAGCGGAGGTTGAATTGACGCGCAACGGCGTCGATAGCGAGTTTGATAGAACCGAGGTAGGCGGGGAAGACTTTTGATGCAGTGAGGACGCGGCAGCGGCAGTCAGTCCAAGAGAGGATCGCAGAGAGGAGGAAATCCGACGAAAAGCGAAGGAAAACAGTTTGACGGTTTTTGCGAGGACTGGAGGGGAAAGAGTGGTGGGAAAAGGGGGGGCAAAGGGGAGGTCTTAAGCCAACTCAAAATCAGGAATTGATCGGAGGTGAAGAAAGAGAATGATAAATGGCAAAAGAAAGAAGAGGGGCTCAAGGATCGAAATCTGGTCTGGTCGGTATTAGTGATGGAGATTCTTATGCGGTTGGTTATGCAGTTCTTTTATGGTGGGGACGAAACAAAAAAGTGGATCGACGGATTTGATTGATAATAAATGATGTGATCAAAGCACGGCGGCGAAGGATGAAATCAGTTAATAACAGAGGAAGGAATACGTACAATACGTACCTGGTAGAAGCTTTCGGTAATAACTCGCAAGACACTGTTGATAAATCTCTCGGCGACCGAAATTCTGCCCTGCTTGAGCTCATCCAGAGCGTCGATTCTTAGGAATCCAGAAAGGAATCCATTCCCGGCGAGACCAGGTCACGTGCCCCATGCTTAGAAAGCGAAGTGGCCCAGACTCTTTCATTACCACCATCACCATCGGGTTTGCAGAGAGAATACTGCTTTTGCCTGCCTGGAAGAGGTACAAGGCTGATCCATAGATCTGACAGCAGATTCGATTCCATTTCCCGTCTCACCAGATCATTCATGCACATACGGAGTACTAGGGGCTGTTGCCGGCTGTTGTTGTCTCACTTCTCGAAGCATCTGGATATCTGATCCGATCCACTTCATTACCTAAGCATGTCTTCATAACTCCATGGTACCTCGATTATCATCAAATGACGACCTTCAGGACCCTGCGTCGGGACAACCAATTATGTACAAAATAACAAGTTTGGCAAAAACACATGAGACGTGAAAAGTTCATAAGGCATTCAATCATTAAGAATCATGAGAGGTCATCGTACGTTCATACCAATCGTCCAAACCACTTCTTCTTCCGCTTGATAGTCTCCTCCGGCCCATCATTGACGGGCCCCGGCCCTGGTGCATGACCCATGCGTACCATTTGCTCCGGCAGCCTCTCATCAGGCTCATCGAGATCACTTCCTGCATAGCCTTCTTCATAGTCAGGGTCATCATCGTAATCAGTATCCTCCACATCGCCAGGGACAATTTTGGCGAAGCCACGCTCCTTCTTACGCCCTACTGCCAGCCATTTCTTCCAACCTTTGGCAACTGGGTTGGCCGGGGGGTCGTATTCAGTGCCTTCATAACGCAGCATGGGCACAAGAAGCTTGTACGGCGTCGTGATACCTGATGGATCTTGTGGGTTGAGCTCCAGGTTGAGCGTGATAGCTAGGCCCTTTTCCAGGTTCACATATGCGCCTACCCCGTCATCGCCCCTTTTTGTAGCTTTCTTGGCTGCCTTTTGGCTCAACGTCGTAGGGCGACGGTGGAAGGGGCCCGGGCGAATTTCTGGTTCGGGAGCAGGGAAGTAGCTGCCTTCGGCCTCTGCGGGAGGAAATGGTCCGTCCATACTCATTCGGCGACCAGGTGTATTTCCAAGATTAAATTCTTTTGTCGGTGGAGGTCCACGCAGCGAGAGCCGTCGCAGCAAACCACCCTGAGGTCTGTCACCTCGCCCTAAGGACAGAGTCCTTTGCAGTTTACCCGGACGCGGCTCCTCAGCCGGTGGAGGGGCCTCTTCGGATTCGGGCGAACCTGGAGGTGTGGAACCTATGTTCAGTCAGAGATTGATATCTCGTAAGGAATGGGACATCGGCTCACCTGGTTGATACTCTCGAATTGCGCACCAATTTCGGCGTGGAAGTAAGCGCTTGTTGTTACGCGGCTTGCTGTTGACGTCGTGCGTGAAGATGGGAATCATGTCTTCATCTGTGTTCGTGTCCAAGTGGTGAATGTGGTTGCGCTTGTTCAGCACGTCCGAAACCATTTCGGTTTCTGGCATGTCTGCAATCGCAGAAGATATGACATTCGGCATGTATCGGTAATCCTTGTCTTTGGGCAGGTTTAGTTTGGGATTGGAGTAGAATTGTCCGATGGCTGCCAGATGGACATCACCGCTGGAGCGTCATGTTAGTTCCCTGCCAATTCACTGCTCAGGAGCATATCCTCACCTCAAGATGGTCACCCGAACGGACTTTTCTGCTGCAAGGTCTTGAAGATCCTCGAGCAGATAAGTGCGTTCGGCTTTGTGGTGTTTAGCCGTCCAGTGATCGTCGAATATCTCTACCTTGCTGCCATTCTTGTTCACGAATCCTCCAAAAAATCCGGCCTTCCCCAGCGACTTGCGACTATTCAGAATGTTTTTGAGCATTGCCTGTGTTTAAAATGTCAGCAACACAACCCAGGTCATGGTGGGTTTGCGGGAGTACAAGCCATTCTTGGGTATGCGACGGGAATACTCGAGAGAACTATCAGATGCTTGGTTTCTCCACGGACAATCTCGCGGTGGCATCGGTCCCAGATCAAATCACATGTCTGCTCGCTGAGTATCTCATCGCTCTGAAAGATTGGTCAGCGTCTGCCCTTCTCCAGACCACCAAGAAAGCATATTCTTCTTACCAGTCGCTCTGTCCTGCAATCCAACCCCAGAAATGCTATTTCCTTGCCCATTGACATGAACACGTTTCGACTTCTCTGGTTGATGTAGGGCCCGAGCTGCGCGCCAAGCAGCCAGCTAGGCTCATCTGCCTCTGTCTCTTCAGTGACACTGTGATGCTGGAACAGCAGATAATACTTGAACGCTATTCTACCCAGTCCTGAAATCACCGGTGTAGCCATGAACTCGTCCGGATAAGACCCGAAACCTTCAATGATGTCGTGATCGTTCCAGATGTTAACCATTGGGATTTGGGAATTGGCCAGAGAGAAAAGGCCCTGTGAGAACCAAGCCGAATAGTTCTCGAGGTAGAAGCTCTCTATCTCCGCTCGAAATTCTGGGTCAAATGGTGTGTCGTACTTGTCAGTCAGGTTCTTTATCTTGACCCATTCGTGGAATCGGGGCGATTCCACCATAACTTTGTCATTAAAGATCTGGTCACCGCCCCCAACCATGACGTGGAAAGGGCGAGTCTGATGCTCATTCAATACGTCGCGCCACAGAGGGTCAGGACCGCAGAATTTGTTGGAATCGACTCCTAGGCTGAAGCCATTGCAGCTATGGAACATAATGTTCATAGACTGCCCTCTGGCCGGTACCCAGAATCCCAGGGCCGGTCCGCGGTTCAAGCGGTATGCGATTCGTTGTTGCGTCTCGCCTAGTTCGATTTCGATGTTGAACCTCCAGAATGTGACATCTCGAGCTGTGTCGGCATACAAGCGCGCTCCGGGAACTTCTTTGTACGCTCCCACTGTTTCTCCGTCCACTGAGTGAAGCCTGTCGGCGGGGATCGATTGTTTGACGCCGTCACTACTATAGTCCAGGTTACTAGGGGACATCTCGTAGACTCCATCGTCATTCTCCACGAATGACAAGTCCAATCCTTCCTCGGTATGGTCAATTGGCTTGACATAAAGCGGCCTGCCGTCCCTACCCAGCTTCATGAGACCTGCTGTGGGATCGACGTACTCTGGTGCAAGCTGAGCGCCACTGACTTCGACAGGCGGGGGCGGCAGGAGATCCATCGGCTGCGAAAATAACCTCAGGGTGGGCGGTGACTCATAGGAAGATCGTGAATCTTTGGTAACAATCATAATACTACCTCTCCAAGTCTCCTTGTCGAAAGAGCCGTTTGGTCCGTCAATACTGACTCGTTTCAGTCCTGTGTAGCGGAGCAGAGGGCCACATTTCAGGAAGATCGGTGGCTGGAAGCTCTTATTCTCTGCGTGGATTCCGTGGTTAGTGGATGGGAAAAAAGGAGAATATGGGGCCGGACAAATGAAAGAGTCCCCCAGTGTTGGGTAAAACCACTTACCCGTCAACTTTTGAACAGGCTTCTGATAAGCGCTGGGGAGAGCTCTGCTCTTCCTGCGATTATTGCCACCACCTTCCCACCAGGCTTTGCTTCGGTCAACGTCGAGATGTTGAAAGTCGAAGTCAGAAGCACCGAGTCGAGCAACCGGTGCGTTCTTCCACTCTGAAAGTGGAGGAGGCGTTGGCGGAGGCACATTGAACGAAACAGTGTTTCTCTTGGGCTTTGTGTGAGAACCTAATTCGTCTTGGGAAAGATCGTTCAGTACAGCATTGTGAATATTTGTGATTAGGTGTTCTGGTTGCTGAGAAGCTATGCCTTGTGCATAAGGGTCATTTCCCCCAGAGCCCCTCTGGGGTGCTCGACTCTGTTGGACCCGAGCATCAGCGTATTGTTGTGAGTGCTGCATCTGTGCCACACTTGGCATGGCATGGTGTTTCTGTGATGGCCCAAGTACCGCAGGAACGTCTCTCCCATCTCGAGACGTGTTAGGATCTTTCGTAGTGTTCATGGTATGACCTCCGGGTCTGTTTGTCACCGACACAGATCGCCTGGGAACGCTACCGTGATTCAAAATTGGCCCTGCCAAGGGCTTTGAATTGCTAATCTTCGAGGTTTGCATCTCAGGAGCGACCAATAGGGCGGGTGGTCCTGGCTTTTGGGCGCTAGACTTTGCCTGTCTTGGAGCTCCCTGGTCACGGGCAATCGTCGCTTCATACCCCTGGTGAACAGCGTTCTGCCCAATGCTTGGTTTGGTGTTTCGGGCCCGATTCTCCTGCTCTCCTTGGCTGACATCCCGCTGTGAGACTGATTGCTGAGGCATCCTACTTCCAATTGGGCCTGCGGCTGAGTTGCTATCTGTAGGTTGTGCGAGAGAAGCATTTCGATTTTCTGCCTCCATCTGTTGACGTGCCAATCGTTCCTTGAGCTTCATCTCGGCCTCCAAGACGCGCGCCCTTTTTTCCTCTTTGCTAATCCCATTCAATGTGACTTCGAGCTTCTGAAGAGGGGATCTATCTGGGGCCCAGTCATGCTGCTTACTTGTTGAAGACCGTAACGTGCTAGATCGGCTCAGCGGCGACATTTGGTTGACAGAGTCTACCGGCGATGTCGCTTCGACGTCCTCCATTTGCCTCGCTGGTCCCGAGGCAGCATCTTCTGGGTCGGTTGGACGTCTCGTAGACGCTCCATTTCCTTTGATGGAAGGAGAGGTGGATGTAAGATAATCTTCCGGTGGGATTATGTTACCCTCTGGGAGGTTATGAGCTCTTGCAGAGAATGAACTGGAAACCTGTCTTCTCCGAGTTGCAGCAGAATTGCTACGGTAAGGATGCGACTGGCCATGGGCCCCCTCTGGATTTCTTAGCATGTGCTTGTCATTGTGCAAATAGTCCATATGGGCAGTTCTGATATTATCATCTTGATGCCGAGCTTCGTTGGGAGGCATCTGTTGAGATGACATGGAGTCTCTATCGATAGGTCTTCGATAGGCTGCTGTAGCCATTCTGCGACTCGGTGGTAGCCAGGAGCAATTCTTAAAGATCCGTACTCGAGAGCATGATAATCAAGTACCTAGTCCTGAGTGACGATTGTCAGATTTGATCCGAAGAGTTGTATTAGGGGGGTAAATCGAGTGTCAGGGTTACAAGAACTAAAGACATACCTTGAAAGTCAATTGCCTGCGATTGACCTCTCTCACTTTAGGATTGCAATCGGGACCGAGAAAATGAATGTGTTGGCGATGACTGTAGAAGATGGGCGAATCAGTAGAGAAAGGAGTCTAATCTGGGCCTGTACGCCTATTCGAAATTACGTCTGAGCCCCGAGGCTGTGGAATGGCGAGATAAGTTCGGCGCTGGTTGTGATAATGAAGTATACAGATGTGGAGTATACATAGAAAACAATGGAGAATCTCAATGCAGAGAATGAGCTATGGAGCTCTACAGAAGGAAAAAGGAAAAAGGATTAAGGGAATAAAAGATGACGGAATGATCAGAGTAAAATGTGATATGGAGTAATGCACAATAATGATATTATGCCTTTTGCAAGATTGATCGTGCAGGGCCAGTCCGGTATGGATTTCGATTTAAACCTGGTGGCTGGCAACTTGATTTACTCGCCCAGCCCTCTTTTCTACTCCTTCGCCGCGGGGCAGTTGTTGGACTACGACCTGGAACTTGGACCTGCAGCAGAATCAACCCTGCCAGGCACCACCGATCTTCTATTAAGGGATCCTTGACCCTTTTCACTGTGTCTTGAATACTATGGCTCGTGTTAGCAGCACTGCCTTACTTAAGAACGTGCTGAAGATATAAATAATGGGATTGGATGATCTGTATGCCACGCTGCTCTGACAGCTGCCCAATTTTGTCCTAAGAACAACGATCCTGAGGCAGTCAGAGTATATACGTCTAATTGAAGCTGATGTACCACGAAAAAGGATAGCCAGTGTTCTGCTGTAGGAACTCAGGTCGCTCCGTCTTGGTTAGCTTGGGGGTAAGAATTGAGTGTTCTGGTGCCACAAATCTATAGAAGCATCCAAAGCATTCAAGCACGAAGGTCACATCGCCATTTCCAGGAATGGGATGCAGCAGAGCGACAGTGGTGTTAAGGCTGTCGGCCACTTAGTCTTTGACAAGGATCTAAGCAATCGGAACGTGGTCTTTCGGACTGGTTGAACATTCGAATGACCTGCCTATGGAGGTTTATGATAGATGATGGCCCACCGATACATTTTAGGGAAGTATTATTCTGCAGAATTAGTACGTAGTTGCGAGTACTGTAGCTTTCTTTCATCTGATATCAATAAAAATCAATACAGTCTGTATTTTCGCCTCCTAGAGATCATTTTGCCGCGGTCGCATACCCGTCTCTTTGTCTACTCTTTCTTAGTGGTGAAAGCCCCTTGTTTATGGCCCCCGAAGGTAGATCAGCTTGAATAGGCGACACTTGTTAAAATAGTTAAGACTCTAACCTCTAACTCCGCAACTATCGTTTCTCAGTCATCGACATTGACAAAGCTGGGATTTTCATGAAGCAAGAACTGACGCTCAAATTCTTCTTCTTCTTCTTTTGCTTATTCTTATTATCATTAATTGCCAATAAATAACCTGGACTCGGAAAGTCCTCTCTGCGATCTCTGATCTTCTTTGAGTGGATCTTGTTGGGTTCCCGTTAATGGCAGCCAATTCGTTGTCCTTTATTCCGCCTCACTGAGGACACTTTCCTTTTGTTCAACAAGACCTCCTCCCATTCAAGATGCGATTTGTTGGGGGTGCAGCTCTAGTCTTGAGCTTCATCTCTGCAACCACAGCAAACGTCCAGCCTCGATCCTACGATACCCACGAGTTCTTCGCTCTCCACCTCGACGACTCCGCTTCGCCATCCCATGTCGCTCAGCTCCTGGGAGCTCGCCATGAAGGTCAAATCGGAGAACTCTCAAACCATCACACATTCTCGATACCTCGGGAGAGCAGCTCAGACTTAGATGCGTTGCTGGAGCGTGCACGTGCTTCGAGGAAGATTCGGCGGCGTTCGAGAGACGATGCCACGTCGCAAGAGCAGGACAACGATGCACTGGGTGGGATTCTCTGGTCACAGAAGCTGGCACCCAAGAAGCGTTTAGTGAAGCGAGCACCACCGCTGGAGAAGCTTGCGAGAGCTTCCGCGACCGGCAAAGAGGACCCAGTAGCTGCCCAAGCTCAGAAGCGAATCGCCTCCACGCTCGGGATTGCGGATCCCATATTTAATGGACAGTGGCACTTGTTTAATACTGTACAGCTCGGTCATGATCTTAATGTCACTGGTGTATGGATGGAAGGCATAACTGGAAAAGGTGTCACTACGGCGGTGGTCGATGACGGATTGGATATGTACAGCAATGACCTGAAGCCGAACTACTTCCCCGAAGGCTCTTACGATTTCAATGACCACACCCCAGAACCTAGGCCACGACTTATTGATGACAAGCATGGTACAAGATGCGCCGGTGAGATTGCGGCGGCGCGAAACGACGTTTGTGGAGTCGGCGTTGCATACGACAGCAGGATTGCTGGGGTCCGGATTCTCTCTAAGGCTATCGACGACGCTGACGAGGCGAAGGCCATCAACTTCGCTTATCAGGAAAACGATATTTTCTCGTGTTCTTGGGGTCCTCCCGATGATGGCGCGACCATGGAAGGCCCTGGCACTCTGATCAAGCGGGCATTTGTCAATGGTGTCCAGAACGGTCGCGGCGGCAAGGGCTCGATATTCGTGTTTGCGGCTGGGAACGGTGCAAGCTTCGACGATAATTGCAACTTCGACGGCTATACGAATAGCATTTACAGTATCACTGTGGGTGCTATTGACAGGGAAGGAAAACACCCTAGCTATTCCGAGTCTTGTTCCGCACAGTTAGTGGTAGCTTACAGCAGTGGCTCGAGCGACGCAATCCACACCACCGATGTTGGAACTGACAAATGTTACTCTCTGCACGGTGGAACATCGGCGGCAGGACCTTTGGCCGCGGGGGCCGTAGCACTGGCTCTCAGCGCTCGTCCGGAACTAACATGGCGCGATGCGCAATATCTCATTGTGGAAACGGCCGTCCCGGTTCATGAAGACGACGGTAGCTGGCAGGTTACCAAGGCTGGAAGGAAGTTCAGTCATGACTGGGGCTATGGCAAAGTTGATGCGTACGCCCTGGTTCAGAAGGCCAAGACCTGGGAGCTGGTGAAGCCGCAAGCCTGGTTCCACTCCCCTTGGCTCCGTGTGCAGCACAAAGTCCCTCAAGGCGAGCAGGGTCTAGCCAGTGCATACGAGGTGACTGAGCAGATGATGAAGAATGCGAACATTGCGAGGTTGGAGCATGTTACTGTGACCATGAATGTCAATCATACACGCCGTGGTGATCTTAGCGTCGAGCTACGCAGTCCAGAAGGCATTGTCAGCCATCTGAGCACCCCAAGACGGTCGGATAATGAAAAAGCGGGCTATGTCGACTGGACTTTCATGACTGTTGCTCATTGGTAAGGAGTCTTTCCCTACACTTGGCGATTCGAGATTCCTAACCACTTTTTTTTTTCTCTGCAGGGGTGAGTCGGGTGTGGGAAGATGGACTGTAATTGTCAAAGATACCAACGTGAATGAGTACACCGGAGAATTCATTGATTGGCGACTGAATCTCTGGGGAGAGGCTATTGATGGCGCCAACCAAAAGCCTCATCCCTTTCCCGATGAGCATGACGACGATCACAGCATCGAGGATGCTATTGTGGCTACCACCAGTGTGGAGACAGGACCTACCAAGACCGGTGCCCCAGACTCCACGGACGACACAATCAATCGTCCTGTGAACGCAAAGCCCACCGAAACTCAGACACCGTCGCCCGCCCAGGCGACCGCAACAGAACTAGCTCCTCCGGCCGAGACCAGGCCGGCCGCCACGGCGACATCTTCTCCCACACCTACTGCTGCGTCGGACAGCTTCTTGCCCAGCTTCATGCCCACATTCGGCGCTTCCAAGAGGACGCAAGTCTGGATCTATGCCGCCATCGGGTCCATTATTGTGTTCTGTATTGGTCTCGGGATCTATTTCCAGGTCCAGCGACGCAAGCGCATTCTCAATAACCCGCGTGACGACTATGATTTCGAAATGATCGAGGATGAGGACGCGCTCCGCGCCGCCAACGGGCGTTCCGGTCGCACTCAGCGCCGAGGTGGGGAGCTGTACAATGCCTTTGCGGGGGAAAGCGACGAGGAGGAGCCTTTGTTCAGCGACGAGGATGATGAGCCTTACAGAGATCGGGCTCTAAGTGAGGATCGTCTCCGCGACACCTCGAGCGATGGCCATAGTCCGAGACGCGGCGACCACTGACGCATTTATCCCTTTGTTTACTGTGGAAAATCCCATTTTGATTTTTCTGATTCCGTACTTAGTAGGCGTTTCGATCTATCTACAATGCGATTCAGCCTGGTGCTGAATGAAAGACCTGTATATAATCATCTTGTGATGAACAACAATTCAATCATGAACATAATTGGAGATAATACATGGCTAGCAGTAAATAAGACCGACGACGGTTTTGGGAGATGGAGTGGGTGATGGATCATGGATAAAATCGAAGGACTGGATGCTCCTCTAGCCTTGGCCGATGACGCTGCGGTTCTCCAGCTCCCCAGCTGCTCCACTAAGCAGATTGATGGCTCCTCCGCAACTCTCCATCATCAGCTACAACCAACCAGCACCCGATAGGATATATTATTCACATATTTCTCGTTTACCATCAAACTCTCGATACCTATATTTTCCTGGGTCTTTGTTCATCAGATCCCCAGACAGTGTCAGTACAACAACGCCGTAGGCCAAGACACCGCCGGACGGGAGCCCCTCGATGGATCAGCACGACGACTTCGATAGCGTCTCGTGGAGACAGGACCCAGAGAGCGACATCTCTCGGCCCACCACATCAGGGACGGATGCGGATGAATCGCAAGGGTACAATCGTGATACCAATGGCAAGC